TTAACTTGGACTATTCCAGAGAAATCACAGTAATATAAAAATAAGAGTAGGCCACCTTCCTATTTAAAACAATCCAACGACTATTTCTGCTCTTAAAACCCTTAATTAGTCATCTACATCCTTGATCAAAATCAGTAACATAGCCTACAGGACCTTGTCTCCTGATGGGAAGCCTGAAACACAGCCTGCTTTGTGATTATGCATAGGTAGCTTTCTCATCACCTTTACGCAATATGCTCTTTGCCGAAATGTTCTCTTTTCCAAAGGCATCTCTAGGGTTGGTGTCAACCAGTGTGGGAATATATAATGGCACTGCCACTCATAGGTCCATGAGGCTGGTTGACAATGGGTGCAATGGCCCCACCCTACCCTGCCCACATGCCAGGTCAAGGGTCCAGCAATGCAGCCCCACCTGCTGCAGCTCCCAGCAGCTCCTGCTCTCTCCCAATGGGCTCCTTCTCTCTGCCCAGGAGCAGATATTGCAGCCTACCTGCCTGCACAGAGATTAGCGATGACAATAAACCTCCACTGCCTTGGTGCTCTGTCTCCCTGTGACCGCAGCCCATCCACCACTACCACCACTGCCACCGTGGAAGCTGTCACCATGACGTCATCATCATCCTTTTGGCATCACAACAGCCCCCTTAATGACACCACTGCTCCCCTCTACCTAGCCTCTTCTCAGCCTGTCTTCCTCAGGGACATTTCTCAAAGTTCTAAAACTAGATCAGTGACCATCTGTCCTCTTCCAAGCTTCAACTCTGCCTTTATAAAATATATCATCATTTTCCACTTGACTTTGTTCAATAACCAGCTGTACCATAAAGTAAGAGTGTTTTATGTTGCTTGCCATTCTTGGGACACAAGTTAATACCAGGAGCAACACCATGGGTATGCATTTAAATTTTGATGAAAACATAGGAAAGAGAAACTTGTATTCATATGACATCTTTAATTCAATGGCATTTTGATATGATTACAGTTACCATAGCAACTTATTGCAAATTTTTGTCAACACACCCAAATCCTGTACTCTTAGGCATGTTGGAGTATACAGTCTTAATCAACTTACACTATATGTCTGCCTTACCCCTGAATTCCTTAAAGGCAGGGGCTATGTATCCATCCTCCTTGAATTCCCTGGTGTTGGGTCCTTAAAGGAAGCTCATATTCACTTGTACAAGTAAGTTAAATTAGAGAGCTCTGCCTTCCACAGAAAAGGCAGCAAATAGAATTTGCTGAGAAAAATGTGTAAGGTACTCTGTAGGAGTATATTAAGCTTTTCTGATAAGAAACATTAACTTTCTTGGGCTATTTGATTACTCTCTAATTCACTGATGCATTAATTTCATGAATGTGGTAATTACCAAGTTAGAAATTACTAAAGGAGAGAGGAATTAGAAATCCACTGCTCGGGGGCACCTAACAATGCCCAGGTGACCTGAAATATTTCTGAAAGGAAAACCAAACCAATAGCTTCTCCTGAAGTCATTTGCCGACTGGAAGCATTCGTCTTTTAAAATGTTACCTGTGTGAGGTAAACTTATAAAGGTTACAAATCTAGGAGTTTACAAAATGGAGTGTAGTACTGCCATTGATAAAACAAATATAGAGAATGTACAATTTGATAGTGCAGTTAAATGTAAACATATTTATCTCTTTTTCAACCCTGAGGTGAATGAGTACAGGAGTAAAGAATCTGTGCCCAGTCCTGTTAAATAGGTGGTTGTCTCTGTCACTTCCCCCGTGACCACACACGACAGAGTAGAACTGCCCCTAAGGCTGTACTATGTGGACACAAGTGCTTGGTTTTTCATTGATCAAGGGGCTGTTCTGATCTCCATGCATTCCATTGTGCACCACCAGAAAAATAAAACTATTAGTTTTAATTGATCAAAATACTTGTCATGAAAATGTCGGCAATCCCAGGGTTCTCTGGATGATAGAAAAAAATATTTACATCATTTAGCATATGGTGGGGGAAATGTTCCTTATCAAGAACACCAACAGAGGAGAAAAAAAACAATAATGAAATAGAGGGGAGATGAAGAGGGAATGGCAATTTCAAACAGAAGGAGAAACAGAATTAAGGGAGAAGCTGGTTTCCAGTTAAAAGGTCTTGTAAAATGCCATTTGCCCCCTTGAAGAGTCGTCCAACTATCAAGGATGAATGAAGCAAAATAAAACCAAGCAAGTTAAAACAACAACAAAAACAAAACAAACAAACAACCCTCAACTCACTCTATCTTTAGGGAATCAAATGAACAGCCCAAACCTCAGGGCACAACATGGAGAATAAATGGTAAATGCATTTTGTTGTGTAACAAATAGGTGTAGATCCAGAGAACCAGCACTCCAGACAACAATCCCACATCTGAATGTTTCTTTTCCAGTTGATGTCAAATAAACTTACCCTCACGATGACCCCGTGTCTGTCACAGCGAGACTGTGCTCCATAGGATATTCATTAGCTGATTTTCAGAAGCCAATTGGCAGGCCTATCTTCCCAGGATCCCTTGGGTGAATTAAAATTTCCAACCTTTCAAGAACAGCCCATGCGTTTATCATTCACACCACCCAAAACATCACTCCAAAGCCTTCTGAATATAAATAACTTCCACCGAGAGGATGTTGGGTATTATGGAAATACTGCTGTGGATATTTATGAGTAGGGAAGTAGGGTCATGAGCAAGTCATGGCAATCTATTCTGAGAGGATGTCAGCTGCATCCCATAGCACCCAGGGATGATCAGCTGAGGACGAAAGCATGCTTCAAGTCAGGTGCAGTGCTGAAGCTCCAGCCAATATGCATAGGCATAAAGCACCAAAGAGCTATAAAGTAAAGGCAGACACACCCTTAAGGGTATGCATAGAAAGAATATATTTGGTCAGCATAGGTTCAACATTCCATCAAAGCTGAAGAGGGCCTTGGCAAACTACTGGCACATCTCCCTACTCTGTCTTTGAGCAAGGAGCTGCCTTATTTAAGAATGAATAATGCCAACAGGTCTTGAAGAAAGACATCATTCTTGGAAGAGCGTCAGAGTAAACGAGGAAGACCCTTAACGGAATGGATTGGCGTGATAGCTGTAACAATGAAGTCAAACAGGAACAATTGTGAGGCTTGATTTTGGATCCAAACAAAATTAAATGCTTGACAACTTCAATGTGTCTTCTATTTATTAGGATGTTGCCTATGAGTTCAGTTGTGAGGATTTGGATGTCCTTTGCATTGAATTGTAATCCCTACTGCACGCTGCATTGCTTGATCTTCTTCAGCAAGTGCTTCAAGTCCTCCTTGCTTTCAGCAAGCAAGGTTGTACCATCTGTATATTCCATGGAGACCATTAGTAAGCTTTCCTCTGATACTGATGCTGCACCCTTCTTTATCATAGAGATAAAATACTATTTATATCTATAATTATATATAATAAAACAGACTCCCCTGTCACTGAGTTGATTTGGACTCACATCATCCATCCATTTAATATGGAGTAGAACTGCCCAGAGGGTTTCCAAGGGGTCCACATTTTGTTCCCCCCCCCGAGCAGTTTGAGTTAGACCCAGCAGCCTTTGGGTTGATAGCTGAGCACTTCAATAATCATTGTGTCCCCTGCAGGCTCCGGAATCAAATGGGAACAATTGACCTTAATAGTTACAGACAGGAGACTTCCAAAGTCTGAAATTGGAGAATGGTCTGAACTGAGAGTTTATTATGAAAGTCAAAAATTTTTAAGCAAATGATGGATTAACAGTTGCAAAGGTCTGCCTTTCCACTGAAAATCATCTGATGCTCATTAAGAGCTCTTAGAACTATTTGGAGGTTTGGAAAGCAGATTCGACATTTAAATCCATCAGAAAAGAGCTTAATGAAAGAATTAGCTATAGATCTTTCCTAAGTGAACCATGTTATACCAATTGGCCCATCACCCAGTACCCCACTCCTCAAGGTTATGGGGACTATGATATAGTTCCCAAGATAAGGTGCCAAGACAGCCTGTGGGGCCTTTCTCCTCCAAGGCTTTGGGCTTTCATAGTTTGTAGAAAGGGCCTGGAAGTGAGGCTCAAACAGCTTTCTCTCCTCCTGCTGTGACTGTGGGCAGACTCAAAGGCTGAGAGCCCCCGAGCGGATTAAGCCAGACCACTAGCTGACTGAGGCAACAGCAGAATTGGAACTCACTCTACAAAATGTAACTTGGAAAAGGCACTAAACAAACAGTCACCTATAACCTACATCACATAATAACCTCTATATCAGAAGTAAGAGAGAAATTTCAAAACAGTAGAAGAACACAGGCCCTGGATCAGATTATATCCATATATATTCTAAAATTTACAAAACCAAATCCACTGCCAATGAGTTCATTCTAACTCTCAATAGCCCTGTAGAGAGAGCAGGCAGCTTCATCTTTTTTACATAGAGTGCTTTCGAACAGCCAACCTTGTGATTAGCCATTCAATGGTCATCCTTCCATGCCACCAGGGTTCCTTGATGTACATTCATTCAAGAGAGCCGGAATTCTCAACAGAGCAGGTTGATGAACAATATATTATAGTCTCAATGATTATAAAAAGTAATAAGATTAAAAATATGTAAATGCAGTATAGTCTCTGTGAAAATAAAGGATTCCAAATGATCGCACTGGAGTTAGGACACTATTGACATATTCAAAGGTCACAGCGTCAACGGAAAATCACAAGGCATACATAGACGCAGATGAGCTGACTGAATAAAAAGACTAGCAGAAGATAGAAAGCAGCCCTGTGAAAGAGCAGATAATAGAGAACTCTATACCACTAACCTTCAGTGTACTAGAAGGATCTGAAGAACACCTGGAAGATGAAGTAAAGGAAAGGGGGACATAAAAGGACAAACTTCAATACTGAGCTAAAACAAGGAGGGATTGCTGGTACCCAATGCGCCGTGCGCACTTGTTTGCAATGGTTCCATTATCTATAAGCATTTTTTAAACAATTTTTTTCTTAAGGACTAGTCTTACCCGGTGAGTTTGACTGCATGTGTCCGAAGCTTTCGATATTTTCCTGGTTCTTCATTTCTGCTGGCAACATGTCTATATATTCCTGTCTTATAATAGAAGAAATCCTCCTGGACTTGCATTATGGCTAAAATAAAACCCAAGAGGATAGATGAGCTATTTTTTATTTGTTTTGTTAGTTCTCTTTTAAAACCTAGAAAAGCCATTGGATACATCTATGAGTATTGAATCTAAGAAGGGATTTTTACATACAGACTAATTTTTCCTCCTTAACTTCCTGCAGTATTTTCTTGTTCCCTTATAAAAATGGCTTGGCTATTTAGACTATTAGTTAAGTGCATGCTATACCTTTACAACTCCATCTATTCTTAGTTGACAGAGCAGCATGACCAAGAATTGAGCTCCTTGTAGAAAAATCCCACTAGAGTTGGCAGTTGAAATGGCTATTTCAACATTGACCTTGTGCACACCACAGGCCCCTCAAAACTCGACTGAAACAAATAGCAAAGGTTGAGCCCAGCCAGCCCAGTTTATTGTACCTGTTCTTCCTCCTCAGAAGAGAACACAAGTCTTTCCTCCTATGAGTTTGAACAAAAAGTCAACCTGGGGCAAAAGAACACCATCAAAAAATGCTATGTTCCCAGCTTTGAAGAAAGAGCTATGCCAATGTTATACTATTTAAAAAATACAGATTATACTTTATAAAGCCCCAGTCATTCTCTCACATGGATTATTTCATTTGTGAGTGCTGCTTTGCTGAAAGGCTTAGGGAATGCAATAGAAGACGCAAATTAATGCTAATTCTTGCTGGGGCTAGGTAAGTATACCTTGATAAATGCATTCACGGCTCACCTATTTTATTTAGAAATGCATTTTAAATAGATGAGGGCTATGGCCACAAGACTTTGGTAGACTCTAAAATGAAGCTTTTATTCCAAAGTGAATACAATGTTTTCAAGGTTTCTTTTAAAATTTCATTTTGTAAATATTCCATGAGTTTACTGATGTAGTTCATATATTCTAAAAAAATAAGTTTGTTATTATCTACTGTAAAACATTCCTACTGGATTTTAAGAATTTATATAACTGTTCTTTATTATATATTTTCATTTATTCTCTTTCTATCTAAAAGTAGCTTATGCTACTTTTTAATTCTACAGATTTTAGAAGAATATACACTGTGTTGCTTTTTTAGCTTGCTATTTCATTTTACCTCCCTTTGTATTGAGACAGGAGAAGCAATACCATATGTTAGCCCAGGCAACAATAAGTAAGATGAGTCTATACACTGTAGTAAGATAAGTGGCCCAGCATTCTATCTATTTATAAAACTATTCTGTTTTTGCTGGTGCGCTTCCTATTCTATAGTGCCATTACCTTCCTTTACTCCTGTGATCCACTTCTTCTTTAAGTTCTAGGGAAAAATATATTTCTGATTGCATGAAAACATTACCAAATAATTTTAAAAAGATGAGAAGCCATGAAAATTAACTTAAAAATGGCTTATTTCTTTAGCTTTTCACACTAAAATAGACTTGATAAGCCCACTCTCATGTAAGCATGTGAGCTACCTTGCAGTAATCTCACCTTTGGAAAATTGCAGCAAACTCATATAGGATTACTATATACCCTATGAGCAGAGAAGGGCCTCTCTAAATTGCTGCCCTTCCCCCAGCTACTGACTCCGCCTGGCAAGAAGTATGATCTCCACAAACATTTGTTAGAAGAACCTTACATAGTTTGCATGGTTTTTGTGGCTTTGAATGTCTCTAGTTTTGATTCATCATGAGGAATTCATAAGTTTTAAGTACGTGGTCTTAAAATTAACCAAAGTTATTCTCAAACTGAAAAGGAAAAATAATCAACATCTGAGGAAAGGAAAATACAGAGAGCATTAATGATTTTATGATTTGAGAGGTTATGTAAACTGTTCAAAGTCATTTCAGTGGGAAATGAGAAATCTGGAATTTGTCATTTAGCCCTGAGTTGGACTGGCTGTGCTAGTTGAGAATCTCACTGGGCACCTTTCAGGGGGCACACATGGAAATCAGAGAGAAATTCCCCCAGCCTTGCAGCAGTGAACGCATTACCCAATTTTAAGGATATAGGGGAAAAAGAAACTTTTCTTTACTTGTTGTAGACTTTGTATAAGGTTTCAAGAGCTATAAAAATATTAAACCCAATGCATGTTTAGTGTATGTTCTGTTTCCTAAGCAAATGCCAAATGGTGATAATGATCTAAAAAATGCTTGCAATATATTTATAAAATCAATGTTTTCTGCTAAATATTAAACCAATACCTATTAATTAGATCAGCATTCAGAAGCAAACAAACAAAAACTGTCCATATATTAGATGTTTTCAATTTAAATTGCTTCTCCCATCAATTGGAGCTACTTAATATTCTCTTGCATTGATCATATATTTTAAGCCTCACAGAGTTTTAGGCATCATAGGATTGGCTATTCCATGTACAACAAGGCAACGTTTAGATCAGAGAATATATGCTGTGGTACAAAGTAAAATATATTTTCAATATGTGATAAGGTAAACAAGGATTATATCATAAAAGTCCATCTAGGAAAATAAGTCACTATCTTATTTCCTTATTTACAATTAGTTTATTATTCATAACACATTTATAAAATTCATCAAAAGTCTTTTTGCAAAACATAAAAGTCCTACTGGCTAATTAATTTATTATGAGCCAATGAAGAAGAGGAGGCACTAACATTTTTTCCTACTGCTAATCCTCACTTTTTCTTATTGTTTTCCTAAGCCATTTAAGCTGAAGGTGAGAAAATAAAATTATAAGTCTTAAACGTGCTTGAACAAACAAAGTGAGCATGGCTGCAAATCAATCACTTCACATTTAATGTTTCTCTGTTTGAAAGACTTAGTGGACTTTGATTAGACATGTCACTAATATTGAAGAGCATTGCCTTTGATTCAATTTATTAATGAGTATACCATCTTAAAAAAAATGACAGCTCATAAAGTACATAAATGAGCATATCTTACACTAATATTAGAACTGTTCAACATTTATGAATGATATAAAAGTGAAAGTTTCTCCTTTTAATATTAAGTTTCTTTATATGATCTATAATTGTATGTCATGTTTCTAAGCAATTGATAAGACAGCCATATATCATATAAGCTTACCTTGAACGGGTCCATTTTGCATGATTTCTTTCATGATCTCAGTTTCCTGGAGGGAAAAATATCACTGAGCATTATCATTGCTGTCAGGATTTACTAAACTTTTGCTTGATGAACAATGCTAACATGTTTTGGGATTGTGCAATCCAAAGTGTTGTGCTCACTAGTAATTTATTATGAAATACACTTTGAAATATTCACATATAGAATGACAAAGTTAATAAAAACAAGATACAGCTATTTCATTAACTTTATCACTAAGTGCTACTTTTGAAATGGAGAAGAAATATCATAGCTTTCTATGGCCACAAAGTATAAATTCAGTTCAGCAAAAGCCATGCTTTAACAGTGAAAAATAATCTGGCTCCCATTCGTTTGACCACAAGAGTCACCCATTAAAAATTAATGGAAAATTTCCCAAACCTCATAGAAGCCCCAGTTCCCGTCTCATTGTTGTCAGGTTCCATCACTCTGGCTCCCACTCATAGCAACCTTATGTGCAACAAAATGAGATACTGCTCACTCCTGTGCCAGGCTCACAATGGTTACTTTGAGCCCATTTGGTAGCCACTGTGGTAAGCCATCTTATGGAGGGGTTTCCTCTTTTTAACTCTCTTTCAACTTTACTAAGCATGATTTTCCATGGAAAATACTTGAGACAAAGAAGTCTCACCATCTTCTATTCTGAGAGCACTCTAACAAGCTTCCTCTGAGATTTGTTTATTCTTCTGAATGTGTACAACATTCTAAGTTTCCTTCATCAAAACCATAATTCGAATGTATCAATTCTTCTTTGGGCTGGGCTTCCTTAATCATTGTCCAGTTTTTACACGTATCTGAAGTGATTGAAAATACCATAGCTTGGCTCACACGGGCCTCAGGCTCTTTAACACTTTACAGCGGTCTTGAGCATCAGGTTTTCCCAATGCAATGTGTTGTTTGATTTCTTGATTTCCTGAGTGGTGATTGTGTATCCAAGCAAAATGAAATCCTTGACAAATTAAATCATTTCTCCATTGATAAGGATATTGTCTAGTTGTGAGGATTTTGGTTCTCTTTATATTGAGTTATAATCTATACCAAAAGCTGTACTTGTTGACATTCATCAGCAAATGCTTCAAGTCCTCCTGGCTTTCACCCAGCGAGATTTTATCATCTGCATATTGCAGTTTACTGATAGCCTTCCTCCATTCCTACTGCTGTGCTCTTCCTCATTTACACCAGCTTCCAGGGTTCTTTGTCCAGCGTAGATTTCATAAATATGGTGAAAGGATACAACGCTGAAGCACACCTCTCATTATAAACCACGCAGAACCCCCGCGTCTGTTTGAATGACTGACTCTTGGTCTATCTATAGTCCTTACATGAGCACAATGAAGATTTCTGGAATTCCCTTTGTTTATAATGGGAGCCATGGGTTAGAATGACTCCCTCAGTTAAATGAGTTTGCCTAGTCAAAAAAACACAAGCAAACACTTTCTGGTGTTTCATCTGCTTTCAGCCAGGAACAACCTGATGTCAAGAATGGTATTTATCAATCCATGTCTTCTTCTGAATCCACCTTAAGTTTTTAGCAGCTCCCTGTTAATGTACTTCAGCAACCTTTTAAAAATTATCTTCAACTTTTTTCATCACTAGTTTTTTAGTGGTTTCTGTGTAAATCTTACAGTTCTATTGACTGGGTTTCCCACTATAGATACAGATAATATCCTATCACATTAATTCTGCTCATGCATCAAGCACTGCATGGTGAAGATTAGATTTGACCTGGGCCTGTATACTATAGGAGATTTTATCAGACAGAAATCAGAATGATATTTTGGTCGGAGGAATCATATGGCCAATCAGATCCACCCTGAAAGACACCGTAGTCCATATATCGTATCATTATGAGAGTAGAGAAGGTAGCAGAGGACATGGCTTTGCAAAAGTGAATCCGAACTAGCTCAGGATGACTGGGCTGTATTCTCTGGAATTGGAAGCCTCTAGAGGTTCAAATACTCTGCAAGTGATAAGGCATACTAAGACATGGCCACGATGAATTACATTTTGTGTAGGCTTTAACGTGACAAATTGCAATCCTTTATGGCTTGGTCCTCTTCAATTATTTTGGGGCTAAGGGCAACAACAACAACAACACACACACACACACACACACACACACACACACACACGACCACTGTCATCAAGTAAATGCTAACTCATGGCAACCTTTTAGGACAGGGCAGAACTGCCTCTGTGAGTTTCCAAGAATATAACTGATTACAGGAGTAGAAAGCCTGATCTCTCTTCTCCAAGCTGACTGGTAGTTTTGAACTGTTGACCTATCCATCAGTACTCCTTTGGAAAGGGGCAAAGGACAAGTAAAAAAAGTTATGACAAAATCATATAGCTATTACCCAAAAAAGTATTGGAAAGGGTTTGACTTCGCCTCCCTTAAAAAAAATTGTGGTAAGTATGTATGTAACGATACATCTTCCATGGCAACATTCTTCACAAATGCAATTTGGTGACATTAATTATATTCATCACATGATGCAAGCATTAGCACTATCTCTTTCAAAGCCTTGGTAGTGCGGTGAGTTACCAGCTGAGTGCTAACTGAAAGGTTAACAGTTTGGACCCCCCAGCTGCTCCCTGCGTGAAACATGTTCCCGTAAAGACTCAGACATTCAAGGGGCCTATCGGTCGGTCCTGTAGGTTGTTAGGAGGAAGAACTGACTCAGTGACAGTGTGTTTGCTTTTTAAGAGAAGTTCAGTGTGTCTTAAGCAGGGGATCTGCTTTCTGCTCCCACATCCTGTTCATCTCTTATTAGCAACAGGAACCTTAAGTCTGCATCGACCTGCCTATTAAACATTTTCCCTCTAGGTGGAACCATACAATGTTTGTCCTTTTAGGGATACTTTCACTCAGTGTAGCATTTTCAAGGTTTATCCATAGTGCAGTACGGATTAGGATTTCATTTTATGGTTGAATAAGATACCATTGTATTATACTAGTATGTATCAAATATTTTTAACCATTCATTTGTGATTGGCTTGTGAGATACCAAATCTGGAAGACTTTATGAATACTTTAATAAGAATACCAAATCATAATACCTGAAAACATAGCATTTTACTGTTAGAACATTATTAATTCTTCCCATTTAGACTTACATTCGAGGAGACTCTGTAGGGAGGAGAGCATTGGTAGATCCTGTTGGATTTCTCTATGCTGTTGGGACATGGCTTTGTGGCATGCCGCTTTCCCCGCCCGTCAGCTCTGCTGGCCATGGCACAGGCATGATGGTCTGCATTTTGATCTTTGAAAAGTGGATAACATGCATGGGACACTAGTCTATGGAGAATAAGCCAAGAAACAAAAGTAATATTTAGGAAAATGCCAGAATAGCATGTCTATATTCAATTTGACTGAGTTAAACATGCATCTATTAATCTGGCTGTTTACATGTGTGTCTTCGAAAATGTCAACAGACTCTGAAACAGCAGGTAAGTGACATTACCCTTCTACCTGCCTCCCTGTTATTGTTTCCTCATGATTTCAGACATCTGGCTTCAATCATTCTAACATTCTAATTATGCTCTTAATTCTATATGCTCTGGATGCTCTTAATTCTGTCTGTAATACAAGCAGTCCTTAGGTGGTAGACCATTCTAATTGCCCTTTAACATCATGCAAATTTGCCCTCACTTTGAAACAATTGAATCTATCCCCACCTAGGAAAATTCAACATCACCATCACCTTGAATTAATTCACATACTGCTTTTAAATCCTTGAAACCATTGGAGCCTTTTCTTGCACTAAAGCAAAAACAAACAAACACCCTGCCCTGCAGTCCATTTCGATGCATCACAAGCCTATGTTGACGTTCTGAGCCTGTAAGTCTTTACAGAAACATCATTTCATCATTCTCCCAGAAGCAGCTGGGGGGCTGGAAGCACTGAGGTTGTGCTTCATGGTCCCACACTTACCACATGGCACCACCAGGGTGCTGAAGCAAGGCGAAAGTTGGACCTTTTGCATGTATTTGACTCACTTGCAAACTCTTAATGACCAAGTTATGAATGAATCTTATTCTTGATCTAAGGACTGCCTGATAATCTTCTTTTTTTTTTTTTTTAGGTGAGAAAGGGCTGTCACTAATATTGGTAGTAATAATAATAGGGGGCCAAAAATACACTGCCAGAGTCAATTCTACCTCACAGTAGCTCGATATATGGTTTCCAGGACTGTAAATTTTTATGTGAGCAGACAGCATCATCTTTCTACCACAGAGAGGTTGGTGTTAATTGAACTCCTATGGTTGTGGTTGGCAGTTCACAGCTTAACCATATATGCCTTTATTCTATAACTATAATTATAATGCAGAAGAACCTAATTTGATTTGAAAAAGATCATGAATTTGATTATTCTCAAATGGGGTATTCTGAAAAGTTATGTAAAGTTTAGAATTAAGTATTAAATTTTTTAATTAGGTAATAGACAAATTTTCATAAGACTTCAATTATTGCATGCCTGTAATTTATAAAACTAATATAATATGTAAAGTTAACAAAGTAGAAATTTTCTTTGTATGTTATACAAAGGATATAAAAGTTATACGGTAAACTAATTTGATATTTTCTTTCTTGAGTTTTCTGAGTTTGCAATGAACATTTATTTTCTTCCTATTGGATTTCTATGATATCATCCCACAAATGTCTAGCCTTCCATCATTAGTGTTCAAAATATCACATATATTTATGAGATACTTTCTCTATTTGGGTGAGATACATTCTTATCAATGTGTTTTAATTTCTTCAACTTCCCCTTGAATTTACTTATGAATTGAAGTTCTTAGGGGTTGTTGCATATGTAATCATATTAACTTGTCTTGCTTATCTTTTAAATTGAATGTAGAAAAGGTGGACCTACATGTTACACATTATTTGGCTGCAAATGCAATGTAATTATATTAACTATAGAGACAGTAAGGGACATAAAATCTTGGAATAGATTGCTAAATATTCAAGACTTATCTGATCAAAAATTACTTAGAACAATTGTTTAAAGAACATTTCGCAGGTCAAATAATAGTATGCGAATCGGAGCAAAGTAGAGCTTTATGCAAGCAAGGCCATTGCAAAACCGCTAGGATTGCAGGCAGGGCTTTGACGCAATACGCATGGCAGACACCGGGCTGGCTGTGCTTACCGACTAATTTCTAGAGAACCATTTCACAGGGATATTACTTCATCTTTGATGTATATCTTAAGTATCTGAAAATGTTATATTATTAAGTATAAATAGGCTCATAATTAACTTTGGTTCCTGAATATTTCCATTGCTGTCAGGGGCTGTAAACTTGGAAAGAGGCTTTGATTTTGCAGGAAGTTGGTATGGAGTCATTAGAGAGACAGATGGCAGCTAGATCTCTCAGCAGAATCTATGATGTGCTGAAAAAAATAAGAAATTGTTCCCTAAGGTTATTAATTAAGCATAAGTAAGCTATTGCTTACTTTATATTTAGGACAATCCAACACTGAGAATTACTACTTTGGGAAGATATGTTTTGTCAAATACCAATGATAATTTATGTTTAAATACTTAGGGTTCTTTTATTTTTATGATAGTGTAAAACAAGCCAACAAAGTACCACTATACCAGAAAAGAATCAGCCCTATTTGCCCATTCAATTCACCACTATATGAAACATAAATGTTCAGAGAACTTCTGAGATTTAATGACGTACCTTGAGGGGATGACTTGTTGGGTCTGGGGGACACCAATGTCATTGGTATAACATAATTTACAAAAAAATTGTGTTCTACATTTTATCTTGGTGAGCAGTGAGTGGGGTCCTGAGCAGACATCTGCAGTGAAATATTGTTCTCTCCCCATAGAGAGGAAAGAATGATGAAATAGAAAGATACATGGCAGTAATTAGTCTAGTGGACTAATGGACCAGGCAAACATCAGTCTCCACAACCCTGAGCCCAGAAAGAGATGATGCCAGTTACTACTAACATTAAAAGGTCAGGAGACCAAGAAAATTTAAACTCATTGCCATTGACTCAAGTTTGCTGCAAAGCAACCCTAGAGGGCAAAGTAGAACTGACTCTTTGGGTGTCGGCGTCTATAAATCTGTAAGGGAGCAGAAAGCCTCATTTCTCTCTCTCAGAATGACTAGTGGATTCAAACGGCTGACCTTGTGGTTACCTGACCAAGGCATAATCTACTAACTACCAAGGCTCTTGGTCCTGGATAAAGTTGGAGAAAAAGGTGGAGCTGAACTCAAAAAAAAAAAAAAAAAGACCAGATATGTTTCTTGGAGAGAGACAAGTGGGGCATCCCAAGGCCATGGCCCTCACTTAGCCTTCAGGTCTGAGACCGAATGGACTTACTCCCATGGTAGAACAATGAACCATTTCCTTTGCAAAAGGCACGCAGGGGCAGAGGGTCAGGAAAGAAGGAGGCGTGGAAACAGCGAACACTGGGAGAGAGTGGGTTGAGCAATGGTACGTTGAGGGGACTGTAGTGGATGAGTTGAAATAAAATGCATGTACATTTGTTGAATGTAAAACTGACCATCTACTCTGTAAACCTGCAGCTACATAAAATTAAAAATCTTCATTTAAGTGTGAATGGGGAGGAGGAAAAGATAGAGAAAAGTATTGAGCTATGGTATGACACTCACTGTCTTGTGAAGCATATCTAGGGGACTCCGGCGCTGATAGATGCACAAAGAGCAGGTGAGCTGTGAGTATACATTACACTACATATTAGCTGCAGCTCTTCAGCGAAACAGGTCAGCTTAAAGGACGTTAGGTTTTACAGTTGACACTAAGAGTGGGTGGAATGGGTATCAAACTACATAAAAGTAAGCAACGAAACTTGCCTTCTTTTAATCAAATGTGATGGAGACAATTATTACTGATAAGTAAAGGCAATTGTAAGTTACTTCTCTATTTGAATATTCCACTTTGTAATGAAATTTTTACCTTGTATTATCAATTCCTCTACGTGGGTAACTTCAAGGTTCAGTAGAGATATCCGTAACATTGACTCCTCCCTTCACAGGGACTCTGTAGAGTCCGTTGATCAAAAGCAATAAGAAGAGAATATTTGAGTCTTAAAAAGTCAATTTTCTACTCTTAATTTTGCAAGGATTGTATTGTTTCCAATGGTTTCTAACCTCAGTCTATACCAAATATATAATTTATTTAACTAAATGTATTATATATCTATTTATATAGATGCAATATATATATACATATACCTGTTATTTTTTCTTATTCTAACCCTCAGCAGTATTCATAAGAATCCTAGAAACACAGGTTGAGCAGCTATTTACCCACGTTTTCTCAGGTACCACCAAGCCCTATCGATGCTGCCACTGTTGCATCCATGACGGTTCTTGGCACAGCAAGAGATCAAATTCTGAGGCGACAGGTTGGCAGTGTATAGACCGTTGGACTGAATCGCTATCCGATCAGCCGCCACACCTGATTAAAGGGGAATATTAATTAGTCAAATGATAATGAGTTTATTTTTTAAATAGATAATAGAATGTACTAAGCTAATCTTTAAAACTTCACATGAAACTTGGTAATTAAAGTATCAATATTTATTAACCAGTTCAAGTGTATCGTAATTCTAGTCAAAATGTCTGTCCAATGGTAGGTGCTGTTCCATTGTTTACCAACTCCAAAGTCTTTTCGATTTCATTCCTCCCCTTATGCTAGGCAAGCTTCTGAATTATTGGTAAAGAATTCATACAAGTGTTGAAATTCCTTGAGTGCAGGTCCATATCTTAGTTATATTTGTATTCCCCACAACTAGAACAGTGACTTGTATATTTCCATTGGTAAGTTTATTTTATGAAATAAATATTTAAAAAAGGAAAAATCAGTAATACCAATCATTAGTATTAACAGGTAAGTTATCTGTAGTAATTTGATATGCTGGAGTAAACTGAACCCTTAGACTTTTATTTGTTTTTTAGTTTAACTACTTAGGAGAAGATATTTAACTCAAAAGCAATTAATGAAAACTTTCATCTATAATATCTAAAATTAAATATAATATTTATGATTGAAAACCATGGTCTTTATCTTTATTTCAGTAGACATAATCGTTGCATGTATGTACACACATATATGTACATATATATTTGAACCTTCTATTCTGCTTTTTAAATTATATCCTATCATTGTTTTTGTTAATCTTTCAATTCCTCTACTCAATATATTTATTGAGGTCCTATTAGCTGACAGGAGCTGTACTAAGCACAAACAATTACAACATTGAACAAGACAGACATAGTTCTGTCCTCATAGAATAAAAGACATCCTTCTATCATCATGGAATAGTAGGAAACATAATCAAAAAGCAATTAGAAAATTACACATGCTGTCACTCTGATCATGCTACCAAGATAAACTGATGTGATAAAATCTTGCGAAAGTGCCATTCAGTATCAATCATGTTTGTCAGTTATCTGATACAGTCTTGGCCTTGATGTTTAATCTCCTATTGATTTTTAACTGAAGACAACAAAGTTATATGTTCTTTCCATCTATCCAATATTCTTAATGGAAGTTATAGTGTAGTTCATCAAGATTACAAATAAGAAGAAAATGTTTTGCAATTGATTGTGGTAATGATTGTACAACTCTTCTGGATATAATTGAACTATTGGATTGTGTGATATGTGGAAGAACCGCCAATATAATTGTTAAAAATATTACAAGTGTATTGGACCTCTCGCAAGATACCATTTATAGGATTTTTCTAAAATAAGTTATTTATAAATGTAGTTCTTTCTGGCTAGGCATGGTTTTTATGTAAGTACATCATATGCACAATTGTTTAGTGCAGTTGCTGGCATATTTTAGATGCTCAACATGTCTTAAATGTATAACCTCCCATTTCCTTTTCAATTCCCATCTATTATTATACTACGATGTATTTCATAGCAACAAATGACGGGCGTTATACTACTATCTGTTCTAGTTTCATGAAAATAATTTCCTATTTCAGAAAAGAAAATAGATACCCTTTGATGCTTTGGATTTCAGTACAAGGACTCGGAATCAAATAAAAATTTAAACGCTAGAGTAACTGTTCTTTGTTTCCCAAAACATGGGGAAAACTATAGTCAAGAGGACAACGACATGTCCGATTCTCTGCTTCCGGCTTCGGTTCAGGCCCTCACCCGTGTTGTGTCCTTGTACAGCTAGAAGCTCGGGGAACGTGACCCTTCAAGGCCCTGGCAGCTCCGTTATTCTGTATATTTCAACTAGAGGATGACTGCTTTAAATGTTCAACGTTGATATTGTACTTCTAATACATGCGGCTTGTGGAAGGTTTAGCACGAGGGTATCTGAAATATTTAGACTCAAAGAATGGCGCATCTCAACCAAATGCTTCCCTCACTGCTTGAAAACATTTAATAGAGTTTACCTCAGAGAAATATTTTCTCTGCTCATTTTATCCTAGCTCCAAAATTTTTTGGTGATTTACAGCATTCTGTCATTCCAAACACGTTCATCTCTTCAGTTTTTGACATTTAACTTCTGTTTTATTTGATTGCATAACATGTAGATAGATGGATAGACTTATTTACTTTTCATTTAAAGTAAGATCACCCCCATTTGATAGAGTATTACTTGTAGTATGATTTATTTTAAATCCCTACTTGATTTTAAATTAGCTTAGCTTGAAAAAATCTACACAGAGCAAAGAATGTAAGGATTAGGTAGGGTGTTTATGTGTATGAAAGACTGCAAATACGGTTATTGATGCCAAGGTCACACTTCTTATTATCTGGTCTTCGTTCTCAAAGGAACAGAACCTTGTGGTGGTTTTCTTTGTTGGCTCTTTGACTGTTGGATTGAAACCCGGAGCCTGAATGGATATATGGACCAATTTTAAGAAGAGGAGGGAAATGAACTTTTCCCTAAATGACTGTGTGCTAATATTTACATTTCTATTCTTAGAAAAACTTTCTAAAGACTTCACCAGACTTTAGAGTGAAAGGGATACTTTATAAGAACATGTGTAAAAGGTCATTACTTGCAGTGGAAAATGCCCAGGATGCGGCACAGTTTTTTTGGTCCAGGGGACCGTGAATCCATCCAGGCCACTTGTAAGAAGCAACAAAAAACTCCGGCACGTCAGTAGCTGCAGGCAAAGGAGCCTAAGAGACAAGAGAGGCAAAGGAGCACACTTTCTCACATGAATCCAAATAACCTTTATAAAATAACACCATGGGCTTCTAAATGCTTGTTTTGTTTTATACATTCAAGATTTCTGAATGACATCACTCCAAAGTATTAGCTATGCATGATTTTAATTTTGTTTTCTATATGTGCTGAACATGACAATTGTGGGTAATTATACCAGTTCAAAGACTTAAAGGACACAAAATTCTTTCTCTGGCTTACCACACAAGGCAAAAAATCTCAGTCAATATTTCTGTCATCCTGACTCAAAGTTTTAGTCGCCTGTGTGAATGGCCACAAGATGTTATTGAAAAGTACCCTCAGGAAGAGCATTTGCTTGTCTGCCCCTCTTGTCCTGGAGAACGTGTGATGCTGAGCTAAAATTAATACGGAAAGGGCGTAATAGTGGAAGCTATGTATTCACACACTTGGATCTCCATGGCCCATGCATTTTACACCAACTATTGGGAAACAAATTGGGGTGGTTTGGTTGGTATTTATAAAATCTTCAAAGATGAAAATGAAAAACTTCAGGAAGCATGGAGTTATCCAACAATGTGATATTATCTTTAAGCCCTAATTGAGTACATTTCAACAGATCTTCCAAAGAAAGCAAACTAAATGCAACATCACGAAAAGAAAATGTCAAACATAATACCCTGGTTTTTCCTAAACTTTCTAAAGAGTATTGAATTGAATTCCCATGGGTGATCTGGACTTCTGATTATCTATATAAGGATGTGCTTATTAACTTTTCATCACTTACACATATGCTTCTGTCAATTGCTCATGCTTGAAGGCTTTCTCTCATACACACACACACACATCATTTTTGCAAATTCATTAGTGGTTGAAAAATGTTCTAATACTCAACATTTCCCCTTGATCTTCTCATGAAGCCTACATGATATAATTAGGATGTGTATTATTAACTCTATTCTTTGAATGAGGAGATTTTCTTCTAAAAGTTAAATAACATGTCAAGGCCTCTTAATTAAATAAGAAATACTCTTGGAACTAGATCAAGATTCTAAAATTCTTAAAATCAGATTTTATTTCTATCATTTTTCTATTTTAACAGAAATACATAGATACTCAGTACCACAAGTGAAATATGTTTTAAAACTAAAATTGTATCTGCTTAAATGTGTTCATGACTGCATTGAACAAGTCAGGGTACTGATCCAATATCTTGCTTAATTCTGTTTTGATTTCCGACAAATACACAATCACTTCAAGACTGAAGCAAGGAAAATTTGAAATTTATAAATCTATCTAAAACATATATCTTTCCAAAGTAATATATGAATTTTGAGTTCTGTCTTGATTTAAAGTATTAAATTCTGAAGTCCAAAGTGAAATGATTTTACATTCTGATACCATTAGATGGACCACGTTAGAAAAAACCTTGCAGTAGGAATACAATAAACTTGCTGTTCTGGGTAGATAGTTTCAGAGTTATAGATTCACTATTGTAAAAAGGAATCTTTTTTTTCCAGTATAATATTAAGCATTTATAATTCTAAATTGCCTCAGGGTTCTATAAAAATATACAGGTCTCAGTTGTTATTTTATTACTGTGTAATTCTAATTTAATAATACATCTGGAACAACTGTACTCTTAAAACAGCAAAGATATAACTTATTGCACACACACTTCATTAGGGTTATTTAATAGAGTTATTTAGGATTTGACTTCTACATACCATGTCTACCAAATTGCTTTGTACTTCAGAAGTACTCAATGAACATCCAATAAGAGATACATACCTATCTAGTAGATTTGAACTCTTAGAAATATCCTTTCTTTTCCTCTTAGGAATATTAAGTCAGTTTATAATACCAGCATGCTTTTCTTACTTTTAAGATTTAGTTTTTAAAAAGGAAAACTACACATGGCTAATCCTTCTCAATAGCACTAAAGAGAAAACATTTTTAAAAATACCATTTTTATTAAAAAAATAATTTTCCAATTCTACTAAGCCAGAAGCTCAATTCATGAAGCTCATTTTTCAAAATAATAAAAAAATCTTAATATTGCTTTTCCTGAAAATGGACCCATAGTATTTGAAGTGCAAGAGTCACACAATTTCTTACAATTCTCTTTGCCTCATGATTCAGGATAATCTGACCTAATGAATACAGACCAAATCTTATATGCTATTTTTTCCCACAATTAGTACATTTTTCTATAAAGTAAGAATATTTTCAAGAGCTTATAATTAAAGGCATGTCCTGGTCACACTACCAGGTAAGCACTGGGCTGCTAACTACAAAATCAGTGGTTCCAATCTACCAGCTCTCCCTCGGGAGAAAGAAGAGGCACCCTCTCACATCAAGTCATGTGAAATCTAAAAAATGCTACCTAGGGCCATTATCAATTGCAATTGGTTCAATTTGGTGTTTTCAAACAGCAAAATTGATCACAGAAATCTAGTTTCAGAGAATGATGACATTTTTGTCAAATGATGTTTAATGTAGTAAGAATTATTCAAGGGTGACAAAATATTCAAATTGATAGTGCCTTCAATGATATAGAAATGTACTTTTCCAGGACAGGTACACTACTCCATGTCCATAAAAGCCACTCTAAAGAAATAAAATTAGATATTTCTTTGGAAAATCTGCTGCAAAAGAATTCTCTTGAAGTTGAAAATCAGAGCGGTCACTTTGATAACTAAGGTGTGGCTGGTCCCACTCACGGCCTTTTTAATAACCTCATCTGCAGGGGAGAGCTGGACGGCACAAAAGGAAGATGGAAAATTTGAAACTTCAATCTGTGGTGTTGTCAGGGAATATTCACTCTATCCTGGACGACCAGAAAAATAAATGAGTCATAGAAGATATATGGTTCTTCAGAAGTAAGAATCTCAAGTCTTTAGGGCTTTTCTTTTGGACCCTCCCCAAGAACGAACAACATCTAGAACAGGATATCATGTTAGGTACAGGAAAGGGCCCTTATAAACAAGAGAAATCTTCCTGGGGATGGATTGACACCATAGCCACAACAGTGGTGTGCTTGGATACCCAGCATACCAAGGCTCATGATGATGACCTGGGACCGTGCCTGTTCTTTTATACATAAGGTCACCAAGAGTGCGAGTTGACACAACAGCAGCAACAGCCTATTCAATGGGGAACTTCAACTGTTTTCATTATAAGTTTTTAAAATTTGAGCTACAATCTAGTATTTCAAAATAAATGATAATTAAATCTGATGTTCAATGTGAAGTCTTGCTGCTTTAAAATTTTGATTTCGAAAGTAGAGAGTAAAGATCATTGGAAACAATAAAAGAATGAAATATAACGAGGGACACTGGTGATCTTTTACAATTTGTACATGATGTTTTATAATTTTATTGGGATATAATTCACATATCATACCATTTAATAGTTCAGCCATACTAACAAGGGTTGTGCAATTATCACCATAATTTCAGAACATTTTTTTCTCTCTCATATTCACTGTGTTAGCTCCTCATTTCTCCCCAATCTCCCCTGCAATGCCTCTAGATAATTATTAACATAGTTTCCATCTCTATAGATTTACCTATCCTGGATTTCATATATGGAAAATGAGAAAATACACACACATATAGAGACAACAACGATGAAACAAAACAAAGAACAAACTCTATTGAAATGAATGCAGAAAGTATTAAAACCTGAAACAACTTTAAATGGGTTCAAAGGGAGATCAAATGATTGAGTAGGACCAGGTTTAAAAAAAACCTAATTATTGTTAGGTTAGGGCTACAATTAAGTGCAAGCCCTAAATCCATTCTTATTGCAATGTTTCATTTATGTCTCCAATTTACTTTAGAGACATTATTTTATAATACAGAACTTTATAAATCATCCCCAAGTGGCATAAGGTAATTCTATTAATAGTATGATTAATTTAGCCGATAGTAATGCTCTCTGTCTGACAGCAAGGTGATTCAGATCCCTGGCCTATGGTCAGAGGGGATCCACCTGAGACTTAATCCATATGTAGACCCTGCACATGGATTTTGAGCTTCCACTGTCATGCACAGTCTTCTGTAAACAGGTGTGCAATATTTAAGTCTGATATGTTCTCCTTCGAAGTTAGATTTTATTACATATAATCTTTGGATCATACAGGTTGGTGCTCTTTTTACATGGGGACTTAATTGACACCTCACTTAGATGACTGTTTAAATATGTCTTTAAGGCCCCATATAATATTCTTTCTGATAGCCGGGAACCATCTGGTTTCTTCACCACACTTTGTTATAGCACCATATCTTCAGTGATCTCTTCATGAGAACGAGTACTGAGTAGGGCTATGTCATAAGAAGTGATTGTTCCTACGTTAAAGTTATGTTTAAGTGCAAGCTCCAAATCCATTCATATGTCTATGGTTTATTTATGTCTCCAGTGTACTTTAGAGACATTATTTTATAATAGAGAACATTGTATATCATCCCCATGGGGCATAAGGTAATTCTAGTAATATTATAATTAATTTAGCCAATGATATAGAGTTGAAAACATTGTTGGGAGAAAGAAATTATGTTTGTATAGTCTGGCTTTTTTTACACTGAAATATATGAATTGTTGATTTGTTCAGATTAAAAGCTTAAGTAACTGGACACTAGTTACATGAATAATGGGTGTTGGGGATAGGGCAAAACCTTCAAGAGCACTCATCACAAAGATAGAACTATACTTGGAAGACTAATACATGTCATTAAAAAAAAAAAGCAAGCATCAAACTAGAACATATGTGGTAGTCTCAGGCCTCCATTCATAGGGTACCCTTAAAGCAAGAGATCCAATGTGAAGTGCAATGACTACCAATCTCATAACCTTGGGAATAACCGTTGTCTATGTCTCACACTGGGGTGTCAGCTGTAAGCCCCACGGCATATCTTGGTTCCTTAAATCTACTATAGGTGAGTATAAGATATAGCACAGTGCCCAATCCATGGGCTCTTGTTTTACTATTTTG